AATGGTCCATAGTCTTGCTTTAATTACCTAAGCGATGACCTCATAAGGTTATTTACCTAAGCGATGACCTCATAAGGTTGTTTACCTAAGGGATGACCTCATAAGGTTGTTTACCTAAGGGATGACCTCATAAGGTTTGGTCAAGCCCACAATTCTTAGTCTTATGGAAATAGTCAAGCCTACAATTGTTAGTCTTAGTCAAGACCACAACTCTAGACTAGTTCCACATTTAGTTGTTCATCTCTATGTAAGGCTATAAATAGCCCACACTTCCAATGGTTTTAGGGATTCAATCAATAAATCAGATTTTGAGAGTTTTCTTGGTTTCTCCAAGGCTTCTTGAATACCTTAGAATTTCTCTAGGTGTTCGTGACTTATCAATCTAGAATCGTACTAGGTTGTGGCGTCTTCTACCATTATACCAAGGTTCATTAACCACGTGATTAACGGGTTGAGGTCATCCGCTCCAAACTTGGTGTCCTCTTGTCGATCCTGAAACTAAACTTTTACGGGTTTCGTCACAAGGTTGGCGACGTTCGTATCAGAAGGATAGTTACACGGTTTATACCGATGCTTCGAGAGAAGGGTTAGGGTGTGTTTTGATGCAAAATAGGAATGTGATTGCCTATGCATCTCGGAAGTTAAAGTCTCATGAGCAAAACTATCCAACCCATGACTTAGAGCTTGCAGCGGTTGTGTTTGCTTTGAAGAAATGGCGGCATTATTTATACGGGGTGACATTTGAGGTATATACAGACCATAAGAGCCTTAAGTACTTATTTTCCCAAAAGGAGATAAATCTAAGACAACGTCGATGGGTGGAGTTCTTAGAAGACTATGATCGTACGATTAATTACCATCCAAAAAAAGCCAAGTGGTAGCAAATGCTCTAAATCGAAAGGCTCAACTAGCAAGTTCAATGGTAGGAGAGTGGAGCTTGTTAGAGGATGTATGTGAATGGATGTGAGAACCCTCACTTTAAAAGTCAATTTTTCTAAACTACATGCCTTACTCTAAGAATGAAACCACGGATTATAAGCCCTAGCATTGTATCCCCTATGTGTTATCGTATACACTAAGAAATTAAAACGTTTTTCTTGAGTTAGTTGTAACTATTTCACCACTTATAATATACCCTTGCATAGCATTCTACATGTATTAAAACAATTTCCATGCATTACATTTCATATCCTTACTTTTAGCTAAAACAATTTTGTTGAGTTAGTTTCTTTTCCACCACTTACATTGTACAAAGTGCCTTACCCTAGGATTTAAATTACTTATTCTATGCCCTTACAATATATTTTCTATATGTTATAGTAATTTCCATGTATAACATTCCATTTCATTGTAATTGAAGAAAAATATTTTCTTGAGTTTGTTTAAATTAATGCACCACTTGAAATTGACCAAGTGTTCTTTTCTTAAGTAGTAGAGATTTTTGTGTGAGATTGGAGTTGTTAAACAATTATTGGTACATTTGGAAAGTTAAGAGAACCATTAGTCAAAGATTAAGAAAGTCTAGGTTACTAATGGAGCCATGTGGCAAAACCCTAGCCATGGGTTTGTTTGACTAAGGAATTAGAAAACAATTTAAAGACTAAACTTGGTTCCTTTTTAACCCTTGTTGGCCGAATTTCTTAGCACAAAAAGGGGGAAGAGAGAGAGCTCCATATACTTACCTTGAACCTTAGAAAAAAAAAACCAAGAACAAAAATCCAAAGAAGAAAGATCTAGAGTTTGTGAGAAAATTTCCTTCAATCTTTGAGGTTGTTTCAAGCCTAAAGCTTCTATTGTGGTGGTTTGTTTGGTGACCAAAGCAACTTGTAAGTAAGGTATGTAATCTTTAAAATTTGGGTTTATGATTTTATATCATCTACTTGAGGTTGAAATGGTGAAAAACAACTTGTTATGGTTGAATTTGGGGTTAGTTTCTTGAGTTAATCAAGTAATGGTTAGGTTTACTAATATGCATACCAAGTGTTTGATGAAATGTCTAACCCTTATTCATGTGTGTTTATGAATTATGGATATGTTTTAAACCCCTATTTAGTTGAATCTAATACTTGTTATGTGCAAGGAATGAAAATAACAAGAAGAGTAGAAGTTAGAAATTTTTAAAGTGTGCTGACCGAAACTTTTTAAGCTTGCTGCCCGGTTTTTCCTTGATATTTTCATGCACATTTTGGCTACAAATGTGAGTGTTATATGTTGGGTTATGTGTTTGGAGGTTGTTTACAAAAAATTAGCCAATTTGGTTGAATAAATTTTGAGTTATAAACAAAGGAGGAAAACTGGACTAGGTCCAGAAATTTTCTGTCCAGCAATCTTGTTAAGGTCATAACGTGTTACTCACTGATCGGAATTGAGTGCCATTTGTGGCAATTGAAAGTAGACTCTTAGAGCTTTAAAACGGTAGAAAACTCATTTTCTGGTTCATCCCGAGCGATCCGTGGCGAGTCTGGAAAGTTGGCTGTCCGGGCGGTACTGTTCATCCGAGACAGTCCAGAAATTTCATTTGGTTTCTTAATTTTGAGCCACTTATGTTGGGATTTTGGAAATGGTTTCTTCTTGACAAATTTATCCTTATGAACCTAGTTTCCAATGAAACTGACGGAACCTAATTCTGACTTTTCCACAATGAGCAATGACCGTTTTCCCGAGGCTGGCCGGGCGAGACAGTTTAACCCGTAATGAAGCCTTTGAGCTTTAGTGAAACTTTTCTTTTGCCAAACTTTCATGTACATACTAGACTTGTTTTCCATGAACTTTCACCGTGGTTTAGACCCTATTTGCATGCCGGATTAAGTAGTTTAAGCTACTCACTTGGCCTCTTAATGAACCTATACTTTAGTAGGGAACGAATCCAATTATTAATGTTTTCACTCGTTGACCTAGGTTTGTGCAACGACGGTGATCGTAACTAAGATGTTTGACGTCGATTATTACTTTTGCTTGACAGGTGAGTGTTCCACTGCCTGCCACTTGTTATGTGAAATATTTGTGTACTTGAAAGTATTGAATTGTTATTATTTGAGACAAACACTGTTTTAATTAAAATTGAGGCGAGTGTGTACTTTATCGCACTTGACCTTCCTTGTTTTTTTTCTTTTCACTGAGGCTCTACTTACTGAATGAATTTACATGAAATGAGATATTGCTATACATGACTGTGCTTAAGTTGCATGGATGACATTCCACCAACTACTGTTACTGTTTGGGTACCCAACCTCATAGGTGAGTCGGTTGTATCGAGCCAGCAAGGGCTTGGTCGAGAAGGCCGATAAACCTTGAAGACTGTTTACTGTTCACTGGAAATTGAATCTTGCTTGGAGGTTCCTGGTGAAGCATAGCCGTTGTGCTTGCTTGTTGTGTTGTCCAGCACCACCAGTGATAAAATCCTCGGCTTGATACTGTTTCATTGGAATCCTTGAGCATTGGAAACTCGGATTCCTGGTATACTCGAGTATTACCAAACTACTGTTTATGGAGTGTGGGCCCGGTGGGGGGTTGTTTGGTGGACGGAGACTGGTGAAAGTGGTGTTTTACGGACCTATATACTGTTACAAGTGTTGACGGAGTGTCAACAGGAGGCAATTATGATCAATCTCAAGTGGACCTTTGGCTTTTGAAAGCCACCCGTATCCTTGAATTGAACTGTGATTAAACTGTACGGTGTTTAGTTGGCTACTTTGTGATTTTATGTGGCTATGTGTTTACTTGTTTTACCTGGAACCTCACTGGGCTTTAGCTCACCCCATTCCCTTTGTTTTCCTTAACAGATCGGGAAGGGATTTGATCGAGGGCTTTCTTAGCTTTATTTTGCCGTTCTTGCATTTTGAGGTTGTAACTTTCGTTTAAGCAGACTTGTAAGCTTAAATTCTTAAGGATGATTTATATTATGTAATTTTGAGTGAAGCGTGGTAAGTTGGCATGCGATGATACATGTACTAAGCTGAATTGTTGGATTAGTGATTATGTTTGAGTTAGGGTTTCAATCCCCTGCATTGTCAAATGTTACATTCGTTTCATTGATGATATTAGTACTTTGAACGACTGAGTCCTGGCGAGAGCTGGGCAGGCAGTCCGCTGATACCCTAGGGTTTGCCCTAGGGAGAGGTGGGGCTGTCACAATGGAACCCTCGTCTGGAGCCACAGAAAGTTATTTTTGAAAATATTGAGGTGAAGTTGACACTGTTGGAACGGATTAAAAAGGGCCAAATGACAGAACCAACGGTACAAAAGTGGGTGGAAAGAGTAAAGAAGGGAGAATTGCCTAATTTCAACCTAGAGTCTGATGGGATTTTAAGGTTTTGAAATCGCGTCGTGGTACCTAAGAATGAAGAGCTGAGGAAGGAGATTTTGGAGGAATCTCACCGTTCTAAGTATACGGTGCATCTAGGTAGTGGTAAAATGTACCAGGATCTCAAGAGTCTATATTGGTGGGATAATATGAAGGCGGAGATTGCCCAATTTGTACACAAGTGTCTTACATATCAACAAGTGAAAGTTGAGCATAAAAAACCGTCGGGTTTGTTACAGCCTTTAGAGATCTCTGAATGGAAATAGAGCATATAACAATAGATTTCGTATCAGGGTTACCACGAACTCAAAAAGGGCATGATGCGATTTGGGTGATAGTCGACCGATTAACTAAGACTGCCCATTTCCTACCAGTTAATATGAAATATTCTTTGGAGAAACTTGCCAAACTCTATATGGATGAAGTGGTGAGACTACATGGGATACCAGTGAGTATCGTATCCGATAGAGACCCCAGGTTTGTGTCTCGATTCTGACAGAAATTGCAAGAGGCTCTAGGAACTAAGTTGAACTATAGTACAACGTATCATCCTCAAACTGATGAACAATCTGAGGGGACCATTCAAACTCTTGAGGATATGCTGAGAGCCTGTATAGTAGATTTTGGAGGAAGTTGGAGCCAATATTTAACCCTGGTTGAGTTTGCGTATAACAATAGTTACCACTCTTCTATTCAAATGGCCCCATATGAAGCCTTGTATGGACGAAGGTGTCGATCACCAATCCATTGGGATGAGGTAGGAGAGAGGAAGATTATAGATCCGGCTACAATACCATGGGATGAGGAAGCCTACGAAAGAGTAAAGGTGATTCGCCAGAGGCTTCAAACGGCCCAAAGCCAACAAAAGAGCTATGCCGATCATCGGAGGAAGGATTTGGAGTGTGAGATAGGAGATAAAGTATTTCTTAGGGTTACTCCATTGAAAGGAAAGATTAAAGGAGGAAAGGGGAAAAAGTTGCAACCGAGGTACATAGGACCTTTCGGTATACTCCAGCGAATAGGAAAGGTGGCTTATCGACTTGAGTTACCAGCTAGTTTGTCTCGGATCCATGACGTTTTTCATGTTTCTTTGCTTAAGAAATATCATCCAGATCCGACTCACATTTTGCCACCAGAAGATATTGAACTGGATGGGTTTTTAGCCTATGAGGAACGACTCATTCGAATACTGGATAGGAAGGTGAAGGACTTGAGAAACAAGCAGATTCCACTAGTGAAGGTTCTATGGAAACATCATGAGATGGAGGAAGCAACCTGGGAGCTAGAGAAGGACATGCAAGAAAAGTATCCAGACCTGTTTACAGCAAAAAGTATGAATTTTGAGGTCGAAATTCTCTTAAGGGGGAGAGAGTGTGAGGACTTGTAAAATCCCTTATATTTTTCTTAAAATTCCCTTTTATTTGAAATTTATTATCTTATAATAGCCTTACTACTAATTCACCCCACAATAAGTGCAAACAAACATAGAATTAAGGGTTTTTCCTTTCGTTTTCTCGTTAGCGTAAATTAGGGTTTTTACGTCTTTTGGAAGTGTAATTATTCGGTACGAAGTGTGTATTAAATTTAGTGATTAAGAGTGAGTTTCAGATGATATTAAGAGTGTGATTAGAAGTGAGAATAATAAGTTAGTGAATCATAAGATAAAACTCTAGTACACGCGATTTAAGGAAAATCGGCTTGAACCGACGGCTACCGTTCACTACCGATTGAACACACCACTTGACCACCACTTCATTAACTTAATCTCATTGTTATTAGAGCCAAAATATCAGCCCTTAATCAGATCTTTCTGGCCAAAACTTTTGAGTAATAAAACCAAGGAAAAGAAAAAAAATTGAGGAAAGATCATGGAGTGACACTTGGAGAACATCTAACCATCTTTGACCAAATTCAAGTCCTAGCTTCTTATCTTTCTTGGACTTCATTTTTTCTTCATTTTGCTTCCATGGTGGCCGAACCTTGAAGGAAAAAAACAAGAGAAGAGAACTTCATTTCATCTTGGGGGTTTAGCTTATTTGAGTGAAAAATCAAGAATCTAAACCGATTAATCCTTTCTTTGAGCACTTGGGAAGCTTGGGGTGCTAAAAGTTTTACAAGGAGAGGTGGTGGATTTCTTTTGCAAGCATATTAGTGAGGTATTATGGCTGTCCATCTTATTTTGTCCCCTTAATCTTGCTTAAGTTGTGTAGCAACTTATATTCGTGGTTAATGATTGCTATTCAAGTAGTTTTGATGATTACGGTGGATTTGTGAGTTAGGGTTTTGAATTGTTCAACTGTATTTCTTATTGTTTAGATAGAATATGATGTGAATAAGCTTAGATAAGGAGTTGGAGTAGTGGTTCTACACATGAATAAGAGGTTATACCTTGAAAGCATTAAATTCCAGCTTTAAATACTTGGGATGCCCTGTTCTGACCAGTTTCATTCGGTCATGATGGAAGCCGAATTGGGCTTAGGTTAAAACATGAAAGTTGTAGGAAATAATGTTTTATAGTTGCTTGTAAAATTTCAGCTCAATCCTAGTACTTAGCATGTGAAATGACAAAAATACCCTTGACTGCCATAAGTAGAGTTTTGCGGACAGTTTTGATATTTCATCATTCTGGCTTCATTTTTTCACCTTGATCCGTATTAAATTAGTATTTTACCAAAACATGAAAGTTGTAGTCCTATGTCTTAGCTTTCCAACGCATCCAAAAACGCCTCAATCGGACTTTTGTAGCCTGAGTTATTGTCATTTGAACCCAGTGCTGTTAACCAGCCTGACAGTGAAATTCTGGTTCTGTAATCTGTAAATTCGACCTAGATAAACTGTGACCCGGGCTGAGTTATATTCATGAAAGTTGTAGCCTTCATCTTAGTTCCGAAACGGTATAAAGTGTACACCAATCCGATAAGCGTAGTTTCGGTTGTGACCGATACACTAAGAGACGTCAAACATGTTATTTTGTTCTATGCCTTAAACATTATTTCCGGTCTTTTGCTAGCATTGTTTTGTGAGTGAATGACATTGAGCCTCTTGAATGGCTATTGTGATGAGATTATTTGTGTGTGATTTTGGGGCTGAATTGAGGAAAATAATGAAGCTATAAATGGCTAGAAAATAGGTAAATACAAAGGACGTGCTGCCCAAATTTGCACCCGAGGGCTAGGTAGATGTACTCGCGACTCGAGTAAGGGTTTGAGGATGAAACTAATTTGAATCATCTAAGGTATTCAAATCTTCTTTAATAGAGGCTTATAAGTTAGAATTCGGCCGAAACTTGTACCCTTGGAAAAATGAAATTTACGACTAATAAAAATACGTTTTCTTTGTTTCTTCGACTCAAATGGTATTTCAAAGTATAATTGCTACAAAATTTCACAGTTTGAATAGCGAGCAAGAGTTTTACGAATATTCTCCAAATGAATTTCAATTACTTGATTCTTGTTGAACGAAACGTTCAAGTTTCGAACCTTAGTCGATTTTCAAAGTTCTTAAACAATGTTTTATCGCAGATTTGGACTCCAAACCAGGAATACAGATACGTTCCTCGATCAACACGTTTCGAGACACGTAGCACGTTTGCCCAAGGATCTAGCGAGGACGTCCAACGCTTGGAATTGCGGGATCTAGAACCAAACGGACGACACGATTTGATTCAAGACGGTAGACGACACTCCGATGAAGGTGAATACTCCAGGGGAATAGGTCGGTAGAACAATCTAGGACAGGACGCAAGACTGCTCAAAACCCTTGCCAAAGCAAGTAAAGGGGTCGAATCTCTCTCTCAAGAAGAATCGAAAATATGCAAAACTTTATTGATAAAACGTCTACCTAAAACCTTACAAAGCAAGCCTATTTATAGGCTAAAATGACTGAAACCCTAAAGGGACTAGGAAAGGGAAAAGTCGGCCCATGGTCTTGGGACAAGATGGGTCGGCCCATGCTCTTACTTAAACACTAATCAATTGCTAAATAACTACTAAGGCCTAAGGCCCTATTCGGCCAACTCATTTGGAGGCCCACTTGACTCTTCATGGGCTTGGGTCATGGTGTAGATAACCCGATTAAAATCCTTCAAGCCTTCGAGGTCTCTATGAGAGTCTTGAGTTAAAGCCGCTATCCATCTCGCCATCCGTGCACACATCAGTCCCCTCCTCTTAAGAAGGATTTGTCCTCAAATCTGGATGGAGATGAATGATACTAACAAGAGTTGCCAGTATGACGCCTCAAATCTCCACATATTGGCCCTCTTGGATTGAATAACACTTGTACATGTTGTGATTAATATAATTCGGTGCACATGTCTCTTAGTCAGCTTCAAGGGCCTCTCGAACAAGGACATTCGCCAAGGTAAGAAGGAACGTGTGTAAGGCTTGTGAACGTTCCAGGTTGCAACACAAAGCTCTCCAATTTGTCTTCGAGTATGGGCATTCATGTGCACTTGATAACGATGTTCGTTGGGACTAAAAAAGCCCCAAATCTGGTTGTGCAAGATGGTACAGTTCGATCCTAGGCATTGCTGAATCGACTCAACTTTCCAAGCTGGAGGTAGGACACTGAACCACCCGTGTTGTACACCCATATAAACATGACCCAGGGAGGTAGGGGTAGCATTCGGATTGTGATTGACACACTTGTGTGCATCACCCAACATAAGCGGTAGTAATGAAGTTACACGCACTCCATACGAATCACATGCGTTCGCGCCACATGCATCTGGAACAAGTACGAAATTAGGTTGCAACTCCTTAGTCATAGTTGGGGAATTTTGGCCAACTTTACAACCTACAAACACAAAATAACCTTCAACTTGAAACAATTCAGAAATTGGATGAAGAAATAATGGAACATTATTAACTAAATAGTAAGAAGGTTTAGAGCAAGATTTAAATGTGAGAACTCCCTTTGACACTTCAATATTTCTTCCACCAATTGATTCAACTTGAGAGTCCAGTGCTAGTCCTTCCTCATCAAGATCTACGTAAGAGCAACAAGAGTTAGTGCTAGTCACATGCTCAAAATAAGGCAAAGGTGATGAATGAACCATAGGTAAAGGACAAGAAGTAGAATCTGGAATTTCCCTTTTAAGATGAGCTTGAATGAATCCTCCAATGGCGCGGACAGATTTGATTGGACATTGTTCCATGAATTGATACCAAAGAGATTTAGTTCCTAAAAGACAAACTCCATGGAAACTCACAAAGTGTCCAAGTGACTTCGGGATGGAACATGCCATGACCAACTCTACTTGACTTTGTTTAACCTGCACAAATGAGGATATACTAAACAAAACACATGTTATCCGGTTAGCAAACAAAGTGTTCACACGTTCAATGTTTGCAGACATGGTCAACTCTTTTTCTTGACTCTTCACTAAGGCCAAATTGTTCTTGCTTATCCCCACTCCCTTCTTCTCGGACCATTGATCCTTCATTGCACTTGAGTTTTGTTTTTCATTGGGGAGCTCTTGTTCACGGCTCGGCAGCAACTCATTCGTACGTGGCTCTTCAATCAACGAGGGACTAGACTGAATTTTTCCTTTGTTACCACCGATTGGCACATGGTTAAGTTGCTCCAAGTGTGAATCCAGCACTTGGCTAAGTCTTTCCATCATGTAATCAATCAATGCTTTAGTCCGACTTCGGAATTTATCCTTTGATTCACGAAGCTTTGACTCAATTCGTGAATTCTCAAACTCCTCGTCTTGATTGTCACGACACTTCTTAGATGAACCTCGTTTGCTTGAAGGTGACCTTGATTTAGATGCTCTACACAAACTGCGGTGCTCCTTCTCATACTCATCACAATCTTGTTTATACCTTTCATATACACACAAAGCACGGTGGCGTTGCATCTCCTCCCGGAGTGAATGATACCCACGTTGTGAACTGGATGGCATGGAACTAGAGTACTTGAGAGTAGTCTGCTTGGAACCCCTCCTCTTGAGAGGCTCATTCTCCAAGAATTCTTGGTTGTATGAGTAAGAGGCAACTCCCCTAGGCATGATTATGTGACCTGCAAAAATGGTTAGCAAAGAAAAGGAATTTTCCTCCCACACACAAGCTCACGTTTGTACACTCAACTCTCGTGTATCACTCAGGCTGATGACACTCTAATGGTCTTACCATGACACTTACGTTCCCGGATTGAGTAACTTGAGCAATGCCGCACAAGGTCCAAGAATTGTTCACCAAGTTTCGCACAAGAGTAACCAACGAGCAAAGATACTTTGGACACACTTGAGATACTGCTTTATGACCTAAATAATGTAGGTGAGCAGCCCAAGATGATCGACACTAGATAAGGCACAAAACTCAAAAGCTGAAATTTTGGAATCCCTAGAAAGAACTCTACCCGATGACCCAATTTTTTTTTTTTTTTTGGAATTTGTTGGGTTGCTGTTTGCTCCCTTTTTGGTCAGGTTTTTGTGGTGTTTTGGGTGCTGCTTTGGGTGACGATTCAGTCCTTAGATTTGGTCAGCTCGGGCCATAAGGTCTGCCCAACTATGTTCAAGTTCACGGGCTTCGTTGGAGAGTAGAAACGTGGTGGCGGTTGGCTGGGTTTGGGAATCTGATTTGCTGTGGCGGTTGGCTGGGTTTTTGGGAAACTGAATTGGTTAGTATATGGGCGGTGGTGGTCGGTCAAGACATTTGGGAAATGATTTTGGTGTGGTGACCGAATGTGAGTCAGAATTTGGGAAACTGAATTGTTGACTGACTTGGTTATATGTGGGCGGTGGAGGTCGGTGGACGGAAGGTTTGGGGAATGAGTTGGTGTGGTGGTTGGCTGGGTTGGCAAACTGAATTAGTGATTTATGGGCGGTGGGTGCGGCCGAATGTGAAACAGAATCTGAAAGACTGAATGGGTTATTGAATTGTGGGTGGTGAAGGTCGGTCAAGGCTTGGGAAATGAGTTGGTGTTTGGCCGAATGGAAGACTGAATTGGTGATTATATGGCAGTGGAGGTCAGTTGGAGGGAAGCTTGGGTGGTATATTAAGTGGGTTGTGGGGTCTGTTAAGAGCTTTTGAGGGAATGGTTTGGGATGGCCGAATAAGTTTCTTGGTTCCTATTAATCCTACCAGAATTAGGAGTAGTTGGGTCACGGTGGGACTTGGGTTTTCCAAGTAGGAGACTAGAGCCAATATCCTTGCTTTCCTTCTTTTTTTATTTCCTCTTTCTTTTTTTTTTTCGTTCCTTTTGTTTCTATTCTGTCTTCCTCTCTTTTTTTTTTTTCTGGCTCAATGCTCAATCAGATTTTGCACGACTCAATTCCAGTCCCAAGAAAAGAATTCAGCACAATTCTGGTTTCAAGAACTTCCAAACCAGTCTTTGGTAGGCCAAGATTTTGAAGAAACTTGCTCAAGAAGCTCAAGAACTCACCCAAGGATGTTTTGGTATTCAAGTTTTGCAAGAAAAACAACACAAAAGTTCAAGAACAAGAGTAAACAGGCTCGGCAGCCCCAACAACTAAATTCCAGCAATGACTTCAAGGGCCACAACCAGGTATGCGGCTTTCTCTCCTTTTCTCTTTTTTTTTTTTGTGACTTTTGCTGGGTTGTTTACACGGCCCCAACAACACAACAACCAACCAGAATGGACCCACTATCTGGACACATATGAATCAGCAATTAACGAAGGGGGAATCTAGACAGATTGCTACAACACAAGATGCGACAAGGAGGGAAAGGAACCCTAGCTGCCGCAAAGGTTTTTTTTTTTTTTTTTTTCCCACGGACAGTTTGGGGCTGCTATGACACGCACCACTTGAACAGAAATTTGGTGCAACAAACGACACCAGACTTGGCCAGATTCGGTGATGGCAACAACGACCCAAGAACAAGACAAATTGTGGAGATGCAACTATGGGATGCTACAGCACAAATTGACGCAACAAGACACAAAAAGGAATTGCGGACAGATTTTGGAACACAAGGAAGCACACGAACAGAAATTTTTTTTTTTTTTTTTACTAACAATGGCGCAACAAGACAACAACTACGACCAGAATTTTATGACAAAGGCAGCGGAATCTAAGAAAGGAAAACTAAAACAAAGCTACGGATATAACGGAAGATACCTCAACCACAGCTCTGAAGCCAACTGATACGTTTCTCGATCAACACGTTTCGAGACACGTAGCACGTTTGCCCAAGGATCTAGCGAGGACGTCCAACGCTTGGAATTGTGGGATCTAGAACCAAACGGACGACACGATTTGATTCAAGATGGTAGACGACACTCCGATGAAGGTGAATACTCCAGGGGAATAGGTCGGTAGAACAATTTAGGACAGGACGCAAGACTGCTCAAAACCCTTGCCAAAGCAAGTAAAGGGGTCGAATCTCTCTCTCAAGAAGAATCGAAAATATGCAAAACTTTATTGATAAAACGTCTACCTAAAACCTTACAAAGCAAGCCTATTTATAGGCTAAAGTGACTGAAACCCTAAAGGGACTAGGAAAGGGAAAAGTCGGCCCATGGTCTTGGGACAAGATGGGCCAGCCCATGCTCTTACTTAAACACTAATCAATTGCTAAATAACTACTAAGGCCTAAGGCCCTATTCGGCCAACTCATTTGGAGGCCCACTTGACTCTTCATGGGCTTGGGTCATGGTGTAGATAACCCGATTAAAATCCTTCAAGCCTTCGAGGTCTCTATGAGAGTCTTGAGTTAAAGCCGCTATCCATCTCGCCATCCGTGCACACATTAGAATACTACCTGGATGTGATCACTAAAAGCACTACATTTTTTGTGAGTACTTCCAAATGCCTGATTGAACTTGACACTTGTGTGTAATACTTGACCAATGTGATTACATGATATATAAGTGGATTGATAGGGCAAGAGTGTACTTTATCGCACTTGCCCTAATGTGAATTATCCTTATTCATCGATTTCAATTGAATGGATATTGTGAGGACTCGCAAATTTCTTATATTTTCCTCAAAAATGCCTTTTATTTGGAAATTATTATTTATTAAAACCCTACTACCCAATCATTCCACAATAAGTGCAAATAAACCTAGAAAGTAGGGTTTCACTTTTGGTTTCAAGATTGGGGCAAAATTAGGGTTTTCACGATTTTTCGCCAGATGAATTTTCGGTACGGAGTAAAGATCAAATTTGGTGATAAAATGACTTTTAAGTGAGAAATAATATGTGATTAGGAGCAATGATATAAGGTTAGTGAATAGGAAGTAAAAACCCTAGTACGTGTGTTTTTAAGAAAAACGGCGCGAACCGACGGGTACCGCGCACTACCGATTGAACGCACCACTTGACCACCACTTTCTTACCATACAAGCTCATTAATACTTGAGCAAAATATTTTCTCATTTGCCAGCTAGCTTGACCGAAATTTAGGGTTAGAAATAGCAAGGAAAAGAAAGAGAAAAATGAGAGGAGGTGGTGGCGCCAAGTGTCGCCACCTAAGGGTTTCTTGACCAAGAGATGGCCTTCCTTCTTATCCCCAATTTTTGCTCCTTTTCCTTCATTATTTCTGCTGCTTGGCCGAACAAGAGAGGAGAGAAAGAGAGAGCAAGAAACAACTTCCTTCTTCTTGATTTTAGCCATCCAAGTGAGAAATTAAACTTCTAAACCGATTAAAGTGTTAGTTGTGAGTTAGGAAGCTAGGGGAACTAAAAATTTCCAAAGGAGGTGGAGTATCACTCTTCCAAGCTTTGTCTTTGAGGTATAAGATCTGATCATGGTTCTTGTTCTTTTAAATTTTGGTTTAAGATGTTATCTAGTTCAAGTTTTGGCTTGATTACAAGATATGCAAGTTGTTGTGATGATTTTGGATGATATATGCAAGTTAGGGTTTAATAAATTTCTGCCTAAACTTGTTGTATAGTTGGTATATGTTGTATATAAGATTATATAAGGGGCTTTGGTAGTGTTGGAAGCAAGAAAATAAATAGATGGTCATGAAATCCCAAAAATTCCAGATTTCTGAAATTTCATTTTACATTCTGCCCGGTTTTAGTACTCATATTTAGAGGCCGATTTAGGCTTGTCTTAAAACATGAAAGTTTTATATAATGGTATTTTATAGGTGCTTACAAAATTTCAGCCCAATCGGAGCTATGTAGACTGTGAAAAGGCCAAAATACTCTCGCTGCCTAGGATGCATTCCAGTGATCCGTTTTGGACAATTCATCCAGTTAATCGTATTTTTTTCACTATGGTCCGTACTGATTTAGCTATTTACCAAAACATGAAAGTTTTAGTATTCTGTCTTAGCTTTTAAACGGCTCCAATAACATCTTAATCGGACCTTGGTAACCTGAGATATAGTCATTTAAAGTTAGTACGGTTAATTAGCCGACTAGTTGGATTTTGGTTCTGTAAATTGGGAATTTGACTAGGTTGCATTGGAAACTGGACTAAGTGATCTTCATGAAAATTGTAGCCCTGTGTCTTAGCTTCGAAACGGTATAAGTTGTACCTGAATCCGATAAGCGTAGACTCGGATGTGTTCTTTCCGCAACCACACGTCAAATCTGTCTTTTGCTAGGTTACATTTCCGCACTTGTTATCACTTTGATTTTTGTTCTTATGTTGTTATGAGCCTATGGAATGGCTATTTACTTGAATCTATGATATGTATGACTTTGGGATTGGTTGAGGAAAAATAATGAAGCCATAAATGGCTGGAAAATTTGGTAAACACAAAGGGCATACTGCCCAAATTTACGCTTGAGGACTAGAAAACTATACTTGCAACTTGAGTAAAGGTTAAAAGTGATTATCACTTGAACTATCGAGGACCTTTGCTACTTTGTTTATCGAGGGTTATACGTTAGGACTTGGCCGAACTTGTACTCTTAGGAAAACGATATGAATCACTATGAAACCGTTTTACTTGCACTTTTGACTCAAAAGTCATCTCCAAGCAAACATGTTATCACATTTTTCAGTTTGAAAAGCGAGCCACTATTTCACGACTATTTCTGAAGTGAATTTCAATTTCTTGATTCTTAATGAACGAAACGCTTAAGTTTCGAATCTTAGTTGATTTTCAAAGTTCTCAAGTTAAGTTTTATCACAGATTTGGACTCCAAACCCAGAGTACCACCCAGACACGAGCACTAGAGGCACTATTTTGGTGAGTGCTTCCAAATATCTGATTGAACTCGATATTTACCATTTATCTTTGATAAACGTGAATACGTGATATACATGTGATTTGATAGAGCAAGGGTGTTGATACGTTCCTCGATCAACACGTTTCGAGACACGTAGCACGTTTGCCCAAGGATCTAGCGAGGACGTCCAACGCTTGGAATTGCGGGATCTAGAACCAAACGGACGACACGATTTGATTCAAGACGGTAGACGACACTCCGATGAAGGTGAATACTCCAGGGGAATAGGTCGGTAGAACAATCTAGGACAGGACGCAAGACTACTCAAAACCCTTGCCAAAGCAAGTAAAGGGGTCGAATCTCTCTCTCAAGAAGAATCGAAAATATGCAAAACTTTATTGAT